TGGACCGCTATGTCTCTGCATGCTTTTGAATGAATCCTGCTTTTGCTTCCGGTGGGAACACATTTTTACATTGATCAGCACCAAATGAGGGAGTTCAGACAGAGCTGCAACTAACAATGATTTCCGTAATCGATTAATTTGTTGATTATGGCTTTGATTAATTGATTATTTGTTGAAAAAACGGTGGCCAATAATCTGCCAAAAACTAAATATTTCACATCATACACAATGTTTTTTTTCAACAAATTAAAAATACAAGGATTGCCTTCTGCATTGCCCTTAAAAGTGCTGTTTTGTTCAGTGTCAAAGGTGCAGAAACAATAAAGGAACAACTCATGAACAAATCTCACACTGTAGCCCAAGGACAGTTATGAAGGACTGCATTGCTTTTCAAATGATTTCTTCTCTTATAATAAAGCAAAGCTAAATTAATTAGTTTGTCTGGTCACAAACATCATGTAATCCAACCTGATATTAGCGAACACACAGAAGCAGCATGGTTATCAGTCATGTCAAACATGCAGTGCCAAAAAGCATCTCAAACCACTCAAAAACAGCAGTAACCATGTGCATAATGTTGACACAGAAGCATCAGTCCACATGAAAACACAGAAAGAGTTAAAATTTCCAGCGTTGAGTGCAATTTCCAAAAGCTCCATTTGAAGTGATCTAAAGCGCCGCAGTCGGGAGGACAAAACACGGAGAAAGAAAGTATGCTTTCAAAAAAATCTAAGTGTGGCGAGCAGGTTTGTGCACATTAGTGCACTAAAAACAAGTAAGTATAATTTAGCCGGCAGTTTAGAAAAAAATGCAGCTCAGCCCTTCAGCCAAACCAGAACACCTTACTGAAAAGCAGACAGTGACACACTGTTTCAAACTTTTGACTACAGTTTTACTACAGTTTTCTCACCATGTTGAGCTTTTGTCATTGTCTGCCACAAATGTGTTTCTCAAGATTCTCACACATGACAGTTGCGCTGCCATCAGAAGTGAGCTCAGTCTTACAGATCTTACAGGAAACCATCTTTTTATATGATGTTTAAGTGAAGCTTTCCCGTATTTTTACTTTTTCATTCATGCATAATCCTGTGTTGTAGTCTTCATCATCCCTTTTCTCTCTGTTTCATCATGACAGCTAATTGATAACAAGATTCTTTGTCAATGTAATCGATAATGTTGATTAGTTGTTGCAGCCCTAAATTTAACAACAGAGCATGCTTTTCTCTTCTAGCAACACCTCAGAGCTGTTCTGGCCACATGATCTGCCTGTTTTAACATTTAACTTCTTAAAGACACTCTTAAATATCATTTTACAACACAAACTGCTTCATGAGCAAGGTGTAAAACCAACCTAAGAAAAGCTCATGTTTGTCCCGTATATGCGAATGTCTATGGCTTGCTCTGTATCTATATTGGTTTGCTTTTTCCTGTCCAAATGCACAGTATTAATGTGAATCTGTTTGTCGTATGTGGCTGAAAGTCCACATGCATTTTTTTTTAACATCGTCGCTCTTTATATTACCTCGAACCTGTTCATTCCATTAAAGTGATGTAGCGCATGCCTTGACCTCTGCACACAGCTGAACGGGGGGTACTTTGTCTGCACTAACAGCAGATCAGCACAATCGCCTGCCTCAATAATTCATGAAGTGTTTCGTATTTGTATTGAAAACTCTCCGAACAAGATACAATAGATTCTTAAAGGAGGAAATAAGTGCTCTCTACGGAGCGGTAAAGCGCTTTAGCTCTTTATTTAAAGAAACGGACAGAAAGTGCTCTGTATTTCGGAACAAGCGCCCATTGTAAGCCATTCTTCTCAGATGTTAGCCTTTATTTGTCATCCTCTGTGGCCTCATTTGCTGTTAGAGGATGTTAAGTCAGCACCCATTCTCTCATTATGCTTTTGAGACACGCTCACAGGGGAGTGATGCAGCTGCCATTTTCAACCGGACATTATCAGATATGTACGTAAAGTAATTTTCCGTGGTGTATTTTTAGTGTGCCGCGGCTGTGTTGTCAGGTAAAATGCTTTTATTTTTATTGATTTGTGCGGAAAATGAGTTTTATTTTTAGTGGTACCTGGGTTTGTTTAAATCGATAGCTGGGCGAATGGCTCCAGCAGGGGGTGATGTGTGTGGTGAAATGGCCTCCTGATGAGACCTGTAAAACACTGAGCGCTCCTTAGAAGAGAGAGAAGGAAAAGGGGAAGACGGAAGAGGGCATGGAGGGATGTAGAGAGGGCCAGACAAACAGAGTGATCGCATACGTGAGGGAAAGTGAGGGAATGAGTGAGGTGGTGAATGAATACAAGTGGGGGTAAGTGGATGAGTGGGTGAATGAGGCAGGGAGTGAAGGGGGTAGTGAGAATGAGTGAATGATTGAGCATCTTACTGAGTGATGGAGTGAGTGAATAAATGAATGAGGGTGGGAGCAAGGGAGTGAGTGAGCCAAAGAAAAGGCATGAGGGAGTGAATGAGTAAATGAGGGAGTAAGCAGTCAATAAGGTAATAAGGGAGTGAGGGAGTCAACAAAAGAATGAGAGTGTGGAAATGAATGAGTAAGGGAAGAGGTGAGTGAATACGGGCACTAGGAGTGTGGAAGTGATGGTAGATGAAGTGTTTTGGAGAGTAAAAGAGTGAATAAGAGAGTGAATGGAGGAAGGAATAAGGGATTAAGGGAATATGAGAATGAGTTAATGAGAGAGGGATTGAGGGTGGGTAGGGAGGAGGAAGTGAGACTGGCAGACCAAAACAGCAGACAGCTTTCTTAAATCAAGCCTCAGACTCCTCCATTCTGTTTGGAAACAGAACTAAATGGTGCCTTGCCCTGCTCCGAGGTGAGGACTCTGAGTTGACTTCTTGAATAGGGTCAGGTTAACTGGAGTTAATCAGTTTGACGTGGCCCTCAGGTTATCGTTCTAATCGGAAGTTAAGCAGAAGCTAATGATTCAGTGGTATTCTGTCTTTGAACTCCTGCTCCTCTAATTCTGTCCCCAGAAATGGCAACATTTACTTGCCGTTCTTTTTGTATGGCATTAATGCGTTTAGCTTGTAGCAGGTGCAAAGGATCTGTCTGTGTGTAGGTGTTTGAGTGTGTTTGTCTTAGAAATGGACGACTTTGACATTACTATACATAGTAAACAACTATATATCACATTTACATCAATTATAGAAACTGTAAGCTGTCCGAACAGCTGTTTAATATCCTACCTGGATATAACACTATGGCATCATGGTAAAGTTGTCCCTTTGAGCTTGTTATTTTCCTGTGCTGTTTAACTTACATATATCTGAAGTTATTTTAAATGACTGTTTGAATGCGGCATGTGTACTTTGGGTTAAGAAACTGAGGTAAATAGTGTATATAGTGGTGTAGAACAGCAGAGATTGGGACAGAAGCTGAGATTAAGTTGCTAAAGTGAAATTGTGACGTCTAATTGAAGGAACATACGGTAACATTTCAAACCAAAAACATGACAGATCTGTACAGTATAAGTGGTGCAATTGCAAGTTTTCATTCTTTTGGCCAGCTGGTAGGAGAGGCGGTGGTAGGAATTTGGGGAAAATTTGTTGCATGGAGTCCCTTGTCTCACCTTATTTCTCTTAGCAGAAGATGTATGCCAACATTTTCATAATCCTGCTCTTTATTTTGTCATAGCTCTTTAATTTTGATTCTTACTTAACATGCAACAAACTGTGTATATGAAATAAGCAACATGACTGCATATATGCAAGTGGCCAAAACTTTAATGTGTTCCTTTTGAAAAGCGTTTTTTGAAAACTCTATAACACAGGAGTCCAATCCACAAAGGGTCGATGTGGGTACAGGTTTTTATTCCAAAGTGGAAGAGCTCACCTGGTTCCACTTGTCAGTCAGTCTCAGTTTTTAAACAACTGATCAAGTGAAACCTACATCCATATTGGCCCTTTGCGGATAAGATTAGACAGTCTTGCTGTATTATATTTGATATGAATAATGATACATTTTTCGAAGCCCACCAAAATCTCAGCAAACATATTTGTTTTGTCTAACTATAGATTATGAAATTCACTCAAATATTTGAATTTAATGAAGAAACATTCAAACAATTTTCTATAGAATGAGAGAGTTTTGTTTACACAACTTTGTTACAACTGCATTTATCAAAGCGTAAGTATGCTTTCTATTAATGGCCAAAGTGTATCTTGCTAACCCAACTTTACCTCCAAAAACTTGGTGACATGCTGTCTTCATTGTTTTTCTTGTTCTTTCTTCATTTTTTCCTGGCATTTTTGAAATCTAATACTTATTTGAATTAAAAGTTAAAATTCTAGTTCTTTTTACAGACAGTGTCCAGGCTAAACCACTGAACATTTACACTGAGCACAGAACCCAATGCAGGATACATGATGCATTGCTAGTCTTACATAATGAATAAAGTGTTTCAACTACGAATCCAATCCTAATCTTCCCTCCCATTACGGCACCCCTGGCTGGAAGTAGGTTAAATCAGATACATCTAAACCACAAAGATAAATCACTAAATCAACCGGACGTCAGATATTGATTTCCTCTTATGCTAGCTTGAGAAGAATAAAAAGGGGATTTTTATAATTGCGTCTATATGACTAGAGAAAATGTATAATATGCTCATATTTTGGCTCTACCTCTGTTCTTTGGTCTTGTGTGTGTTTTCTTGTAGGTTTATGTGGTGAATGTTGCACATTGAGACCTGCTTTGGATCTTCGGTGTCTATCTACAGGGGTCGATTAAGGCTTTTAATGGCTTTTTAACTGGATTTGAGGCTGCAGACGGTCCACTAGCTAACTCACTTAGCACGCAGCATGGAGTGTCTTCATTTCACCATTATGCATGACAGCCCATATGGCTACCTGGACCTAACCAACTAACATTCTCTCTCTCTTTCTCCCTCTCTCTCTCTCTCTCTCTCTCTCTCTCTCTCTCTCTCTCGTATTCTCTCTTGCATGCTGTACGGACCCGTTGTCTGCTTTCTGGACCAGAGCCCAAAGGTCAGTCTGTTCCTCTTTTATTGCTCTTGCTCTTGGACTTGTTCTTTATTCCTCTCCTCATTTTGCTTATATGTTTGCTGTGCTCATGCACACACACACATGCACACACAGTGCTCATTTGGTGAGTCATTCAATGTGTCTCCTGATTTGCCATTTGAAGTACACTCATTTCTTTTTGTCTTACCCGGAGGGTAAATGTGTACCAGTCACAATAATGGAGAGGGCACTGACTAACTTCATTAGCCTGTCTTTAAATGTCAAAGGCCTGTTTTTCCTCCCCACCCCCATTCTCCATTCTCTTTTTTCCTATCTACATGCATTTCAAACACATACTCCAATGACCATTATATTAGCAGTCACAACCTTTTATTGAGGTCACTGGGGTGCTTGATGTGTGGAAGGGTGATTCTGTCTGTGCACGGTTGCTCATTATACACGGTTAATGCTTTTACTCTATGATTATGATAAATAAGGCTTTAAAAAGATAATAAAAGTAGAAAATTATTGAAATTAGTAATAATGTTTATTTTAGTATCTGCAAGAATCTTTTCAGTGAGTTAATATTTGTTTTGTCGCCTTTATCGAAAGCTTCTTTTCCACTGTGTTTTACTGGCTCAACTCGACTCGATTGTACTCACCTTTTTTCTATTAGGCAAACCTGGTACTTGGTTACTGATACTATTATGGTATCACCTCCGATGAGGTTCCAAGCTAGCTATGGCGATACCAGAAACTACTGATTGGTCGAAGAGAGTAGTCAGTATCACCCTAAATACATATGCTAACTTTGGCTACCAGGTTAGTGTACCCTCATGCATCACCTTTGAGCAACCTGAATCGTCACCTCATCTGAGCTTTGGTGTAGTATTTCCCAAACTCTCCTGTTTTTTTTTATTTATTTATTTATTTATTTATTTTTTGCCAGCAGTCTTTTGTCATGTTGCCATCAGACTCTTCTGAACCAAATTTGTCTCCTTCATGCAACGGCAGTTTCATGTGGCATTGCTATGATGACCAGCTACATTAAGGGGGTATTATATCTGCAGTGGAAAATGAAGTAGCCGGTCCCAAAAGGGAGTAGAGTCGAGTTGAGCTGTTCCATGCGTGGAAAAGCACCAGTAATGTAAATTAATTTTTAAACAGGATAATCCGTTTTACCACCTAGATAATGTCAGGTGGTGCAACCACACAATTATTTAAAATACTTTTCACACTCCTGAAATATAATGATTTTTGCTGAATTCACATAAAAGAGCTATTGTAGAATAAACTGGTCTATGTCATGCATTTATTGAATTGTTTTATAGGGCTGAATGCATGTTATGCCACTGACCCTAATGGACTGAATGAATGTCATTGACGCATGTATCCCCATCTCAACTTTCTTCTAGCAGCCTCACTTGCTTTCTCTTTAATTGTATGTCAGCTTTATGATAAGGGCTTGGTATTAGAGAGAGTGTGTAGTTGGCTTCATATGGAGTTCCCTTTTTCCAGCTGTGAACATGCTCATCATGTAAATGTCATTCTGGCCCTGTAGCAGTGAGGGGCTGCCCTCACACCAAAGCCTTTCTATCAGCTTTCTGTGCCTGACTGAAGCCACACACATTTCCGATGAGTCACAGGTTCTCCTATGAATATAAGTGTGAAAATCTGCTCCTATATGAGTGCAAAAACTGAAAGGGGTGAGCTCTGTGTTCTCCCAGCACTGTGCTCTCCCAAGGCTCCTCCCTGTGAGCTTCAGTAATATTGAACGTGCTCGTGGTCATGTTTACATTAGATATTACACTTTTTTATTATCCTGTCTAAATAATGCATTATCCTTCTAGTACAACTTGGGCCTACTGAAAAAGGCCAGTCAGAACAAAGTACACTTTGCAGCAGATCAAGGCAAGACAAGGACAGCTGTTTCACTGAGAAAGATATATATATATATATATTTTTTTTTTAGTACTGTTCAGGAAGCTGGAGAGAAAAGGCCTTGAAGTACGAATGTCTTACGCCAGCCTTGATCAATAGTGGTTGGATGAAGACAGAATCACTAACTATCTTAACATAATTAGAGATCCCCCCTCTCTTACTGTTCACATATAATTAGCCTCAGTTTTCACATTTCTGTGATATTAAATATTAAAGGATCTCTTTTAAAAAAGAAGAAGGGGAAAAAAAGACACCCAGAACACACACCACGTACACCGAGTCCAGGAATGGGGTGGGGTGGTTGAGCGAGAGAGAGAGAGAGAGAGAGAACTTGTGTTTGTAATTAAAACCCAATCAAAGAAATGCATTGCTGCTTTTCGTTTTCCCAATAATTAGCTCATCGCGCCCTTACAGAAGTGAAAATGAGAGAAGGCCGGGCGGGAGAAAAATTGCTTGAGAGAAGCGACGTTAATTCTAATGGCAGAGCTGAGCTTGTTAGAAAAGTCTGTGTAGCGTGGCATGAATGAAGGGGGAAAGTGTGCGGAGAAAGCATCTGTTTACGCCGGTGCCATTCACGCAGTTATTAAAAGGAGTTTTCAAAGGGCACAGTACGCCGTCCAGTCGCACAGTTGGACGCTGCCAAGCAAATGTTAGGGCTGGCATGGACCAAGCACAGACATACAGACAGACTCAGTGATCAGAATGTCACTGCAGAGAGGGACAAGAATACTAACAGGAAGCTAGACACACACACACACACACACACACACACACCCACACACCCACACATAGTGATTTTGGAATACATGACTACATTGAACTTGGATTTTGGCTACACAAAAACAGTTAACCTAATGATGGGCGGTTGAACTTTATTCATGCATTGTATTGGTTTAAATAGTAGTCCTTCTTTATGAAGTCAGTTTGTTCTGCCTGTGTTTAAGGTGCAGGGAGTTGGATTTATGTGTCCTGAAAACATTAAGAGGTCGTAACATTTCATTTGGAATCATTACTTGACTCACTGACATTTGTGACTCTGAGGGAAAGCACTATTGTAGCCAAATAGTATTTAAAAATGGATAAGTCATAAAACCTCTGTGGTCTGTTTCTGTGCTTGAAATTGAATTTAAACTGCCAGTCAAAAGTTTGGCTTGTTTTGAAATCTGATTTTTCCCCTTTTTCAGCAAGACAGCAATTTGCAGTAATATACAGTACTGCTCAAAGCTCTTAGGCTTTAAACAATCACATTGTTTAAAACAGTTTGTCTCAGCAGTGAGTGTTTTTATTTGTAAAAAGCACCATATATCATTAGAAGAAATGACAATAAACATAAATACAATAAAAAGTAATTTCTTGTGAGCCAGTTTGAAATACAATTTGTTTCTAGTTTAGTTAAATTCTATCGCCAGCATACCTGATTTAACTTAGAGAAGCGCTGATTAGCCAAGCCAGGTACTGGTTGATTAACTACAAATAAAATTGAGCAGCCACAAGGGGAGGTTTGGAAATGGTTAAATGAATGCATTGACAGTCATAAAATTGCTACTTAGTTAAAATTATCTGTTATCTATTTATTTTATTTTGGTACTTTTCTGAGCAAATAGACGCTTACCAAATGAACAGCTGCTGCCCAATTATTTTTTTTTATCGTAATTTTTTCAAGTGCCTAAAACTTTTGCTCATGTATATGTATATATATATATATATATATATATATATATTATATATATATATATATATATTTATGAGTTTTGCATGATTCATCTCATAGGCTGTATACGTCTTCCTTTGTGTGAAGGTGAGGTTTTCCCATGATAGTACTTGGGATGAGTCAGAATTTTTTAAATATTTCAATAGTCATGAAAGTTGAAAAAAGTGAATAGTAAATGAGGATTTTTGATGAGCAAACTAGCCGTCTACCATACGTTCTCAGAACCATGTGCTGTTCTCTACCATAATGGAGTTGGTCTGGCATTTTGTTCAGAGTTAATCTTTTTAGATTTAGAAAGACTACTGTGGTCAGCTAAAGGCTACTGAACACCAGAGTAGAAGCTAAATGCCACACCAGAGAGAGATTTCACGTTGCAGAAAGCATTTTTAAAGTACATATGAAGCAAAGCACTGAGTATAAATTTTACACTGTCCTCATATAGATTTTATGGAACAAAATTTGGGACGTTATTTAGAGAACTAAGTTCATAAACTTGCTTAATTCCAGTCAAAAGTATGAGGTGAAATAAGTTACAATGTGACTAAGCTACGCTATGCTTTTTTAGCTTCAGTACCAGTCAATTAACATGTGTCTGTTTCTTTTAAAGTCTTTAGATTGACACCTTTCTCAGTGTAAATTTCAAGCCACATGTTATCTGCTATAGATTTGTGGTCTTAGTCTGGATAGTAAACCTGGTTAGTCTCAAATATGTTACGTTTAGTTTGTTAAGTCCCCAAACTTTTGACAGGCAGTGTAGATATTTTTGAGGCTGTTTCTCAGACTCTGTGCCAGTCATTACTAGCAATCCTCTTTGATCTGGAGATGGCGTGCACTTGCTGCCTGTCTGTCTGCCTGCCGTCCAGACGTGCGGTTTGGCCACACTGAACCACCAGTGTGCATATCTATCCACTCTCTGATTAAAAGCGGCTGCTTTCCCAGAAATAAGAGATTATGATTTTATCAATCCGCAGTCTGCCGGGATGGAGGAGTTTCGTAAGGACACCAGTGATCAATAACTCTTGACAAGCGTGTTTTTTTTGTTGGAGAGTAGGCTTTTATCATTCACATGCATTCGCAAACAAAAACGAACAAAAATGTATGTGTTAAGCAAAGCAGTATGGATTCTGCAAGACAGTTGACTTGTTTTGTTCAGCATTGAAACACATGCATACAGACATCGAAGGGTTTCCCTTTCAGGCAGGGCATTACTTCATTTCCCTCTCCATCAGCACCCTGTGCTAAAGCAGTATCGATGGGGATTTGGGTCCTGCTACATCCCTTCTCCAGAAGGGGGTGATTGGTTTAAAAGGAGCCGTTGTGTTGCATGCTTGAAATCACTTTCGAGGGAGGAGGGATGACGGCCTCGAGAAAG